ATCTGTTAGTGACTGATGATTTGAACCGTGAGGACAGATCTGTAGAAAAGGCAAGAAATGGACAACTTATTGACTTGCAGTGCAAGTTTGGCTGGAGAAAGTGCTTAGAAATATTCATTAATTGGCAGTTATCACTTCAACTATAGGGTCTGGTTTTCTTGATTTCTTTCATTTTGAAATGGGAGACTTGGGCCTGGGACAGCTATCGTTCAGCATGGCTGCCTCTCCGGAGGGCATGAAACATACTGCACATTAGAATCAAATGCATTCGAGGCCTGGGGCCACTGGGCTTGCTTTCCTAGCCTCTGCAGTGCCCAGCTTCCCTATCAGTTTTTGCTAATCTGTGTGTTCAGGGCTTTGCCTCTCCTGTCTCTCTCCCTGCCTTGAAGTCATCCATAGGCACCACATTCATTTTTGAACTGTTCTCTAATTTCTAGTGCCCATCCATCACTTCACATTTCTTAAGTGAGCCAACTCTGGGCATCTCAGTTGATAATGTTCATTTTTAACTGGAAAGGAAGCTATAATGACAGCATCTGGCACATAAAATGTTTCTTCTTTTTGGGAAATCACTTGCTTGCCAGAAGATCGATGAGAAAATGCTGAGTATGTGTGTATTTATTATCAACTACATGGAAAATGGGCATCCTTGCTCACCAGGCTACAGAGGGTGAGAATATTGAATTTCCGTTGTTCATCCCATCACCGCCCAGTAGAACTTCCCGTGATGATGGAAGTGTTCTATACCTACACTGTCCAATACAGGAGGCACTAGTGACATGTGGCTGTCGAGCACTTGAAATGCAGCTAGTGAGACTAAGGAGCTACTTTAAAATTTCATTTAATTTTAATGAGTTTAAATTTAAATATACCCATGTGGCTAGTGGCTACCATACTGAACAGGGCAGATGTAGATCTCTTCCATCTCCTAACCACTGTACCCTACCTTACACACAGCTGCATCCTTAACAACAGAGAATACACTGCCCTCCACAGCCTCTTGCTATCCATTCTCTTCAGCTTTGCCTTAAAAGCAATCAGACATTTTCCAGTGCTATTTGGAGTTCGACACAAGGCATTCCCTTGGCTTGTGCTATCTGTAGATCATTCTGTATTTCACCATGCCAGTGTTTTGTTCTAAAGTTGGAAAAGACCTTGTAGTTTTTTAAATAGCCAAAATACAGGTTTGTTTCTAAGAAAAGAGGTGGCCAGAATCAGTCAATTTAAGCTCATTTGTGGAACCTTCCAAATCTCAAACCTGGGGGAGTATTGAACACCTCTCCAAAAAGTCAGATTAAGTATTTGCAAATGGCTTCTACAAACTCCCTCTCTATGATATTTTAATTATAGTTAATTAAATATTCACTTTAATCATCTTAATGGTATTTTACAAATATTTTAGCTTTGCTTATGATATTCACTTGCTCTGTCAGAACTCTCCAGTTCACACTGAAAGGGTAAAGTTAACAACCTGGACAGATAGGCCCATCATGCGTGTTATGACCTGTCTGGTTTCCTTCTCCCATGGTTAGAAGGCTCATTTTATTGCTTTGAACTGTGGAATTAATCCTGCTTAAAGAAGAATAGTAATACTGCGGTTTTCTATTCAACAGAATGCATGTTCATTTATTCCACAGACAGCAATTGAAGGCCCATTGTGTGCTAGTAATTGTGGTAGTCCCTGAGAACGCATGTATGGAAAGACACTATCCATCCCACCGGATTGTAACCTCAAGCCACTGGAACATAAACAGTTAAAAGTACTATATGGTAAATCTTCTAGAAGATGTGTGATGGAATGCAAGGGAAGAAAAACTTAAGTGGTGGTTTCAAAACAGGAAGACTTTTAAGATGTAACATGTAAGGGAAATTTTATAGATATAAGGCAATACAAAGGAGACTCTTAAGGGAATTACAGGATTTTGCCAGGGATAAAGAGAAGGTAGGGCATTTGTGAAGGGGATTATGTTTTCCTAATTAACTGTATTCTTGAATGTCTTTGAAGAAAGGAGACTCTCTTTTCTTCATTATGTAAAGCAACAGTGTGTGTTAGAGGAACTGCTGTTAGGAAAGGAATGAGGATATTTGGTGTGTAACTGTGAGTGCTGGGAAATGAAATGAAAGGCAGCCCTACCTCAGGTCCTGGAAGGGCACATAATGGTGTGAGTGTTGTAGCCTATTGAAGCTACATCCTCAATTCTGGAAACTAACAAGAACACCATTAGGGTGAGGCCAGAGATGCACCTAAGGTGCAACATGTAAAGGGGCACTCACTTTGTGGGTCATGCAGGTTCAGGGTCAGTACTGACACAACCCTGAGAATGAGTGTCTCCTAAAATTATGTGCCCTAGACACCTCACTTACCTTACCCTCATCCCTGCCCTGAAACATCCCAGCCCTGGGTTTTTGGGCAGTGAATGGGCTTGAAAAGCAAGTAGATAAGAATCTGAACCATGGAAATATGGCAGACATGGAGAATAGAAATTGATGAGACCTATTTGCAAGGTAAAGTCAAGAGGACCCAGAGCAGAAAAAAATATGAGGCACGAGAGAGGGGAGCCTCATTGTCCTGTCACTGAATTCTGCGTTCTTTTCTATTGCCTGATACTGACTTTTCTCCAATTTCTCTTATTCCTCATCTCCTACCGTGTCCTGAACGTCATGCCCAGTTCAAATTCAGCCCTTACCTTTTTGCTAAGTCCCATGCCCTCAACCTTGTTTTAAGAGAAAGCCATGAGAATTGGAGTTTTTAAAATGTCCAACTCGAGATAGATCTGCTTTACTGAGTGGTCTTAACACATTCAGAGAATTGCTTTCTTCTTGGCTCTCTAAATTCAGTGACCTTATTTTAAAAGATGATCAACATGGCTTAGAACCTTTTGAGGATTAGGAGACATTTTAGCAAGTTTATCAAGAATAAGCAAAGATGACATTTGGCTAGCAGTATGTCTCCCCCACCCCATCCTGCAAAACCATTCTTTTTGGAGTGAAGCTTTTCCATTTGACAGGTTTAGAATTACCAATACTGCTTACAACTCCTTCCTTACTCCAAACTCTGGGACGTTTTCAGGAGGGACTCTTTTCTTCAAAGGCATCCAAGAATATAGTTAATTAGGAAAACATGCAAGAAGAGACATCTTGGCTCCTCTGGCCGCCTGTTGTACTCTTCCAGCATATGCTATTACTTGTCTCAGATAAGTAGACAGGTGGCTGTTTGCAAAGCAGGGTCTAATGTGCCTTTGACTCAGAGAAGTTTGGAAACAAAGCCCTCTGTACAATAAGCGTCTCACTGTATGCTGACGTCTTCTGATCTTGCCTATTCCTCATTACCTACAGTCTGAAAGAATTTTGTAGAGAGTGTGGTTTTCTGCAGAAGGCTGTTGTAGCATAACTTAGACTTAGCTGGCATTTATTGGACTTAGAATCACAAAATCTCAAGATTGGGTGACTATTGGATGGTTGTCTAATCCAGCTTCCCTCCAGAAAGTCTCCCATACAATTTTTCCCGCAAAATGACCCGCAAGCCATAACTTCCTATGACAGAGTGCTTACTGCCTCTTTGGTCAATGCTGGTGAAACCTCAGTGATACTTATAAGTTAACTTTCATTCCTTCAGCATTCTTCTCTTTAGTGTTAATGTCTTTGATGATGTGTCCCACTTTCCAGCTTTTATATGTGGCCTCTTAAAATCAGTTTACCCAGAGAAACTTCCTGCCTAGCTCCTGATTTATGTAGCTTCTCACCACCATGCCCTTTCTCCCTTCTTACAGGGGCAGTTTCACAATTTTGAAGCTCCTCGGTTCCCTGGAGCCATTGTCCTTTCCAAAACTTGTCACTGTGAAAAGTAGACTATGTTTTAGCCTTTGAACTACGAAATCTGCCTTTCAGTAAGCTTGGCTCCATATTTTGAGGTCTCTAGATCCCCCCTTAGTATCTGTCATGAGACTTATATTACTTCCCAAGACTCTCATGACTTTCTTCAAGCATTCAGTTTTGTCTAAGAAGCCATTCTTTGATCCAGAATGGAGTAAACCTAATTATATCTCCTATTTTGGGGGACTTCAAATCTACTTCAAGCCTGATGATAACCTGTTGGTCAGATGCTCTGCCATTAACTGAATGACACCATCAGCAAGTGTCCAAATAGTTGAGGTCCCATTGTCCTGAATCTGTGGTTTTGTAATCTATGTCAGAAGTCTATTCTTTTTTTTCCACCTGACTGGCATCTGGTATATTCTCAAAAGGATATCACTTTTCTTCTTATCCAGGTACATGCCAGTGCGCGTCATCTCTCATGCTCATGGATCTCCATGCAAATTGATCTGCTTTTCCAAAAGCTATTTACTAAGCATTAGTATGTGTCTGGTACTATGTCAAGTGGTATAGCTACGATGGTGAGCAATGGAAATCTACGTGTTTTTTGACATATGACACTGCTTTTCCACCATACCTTTCCAACCTTAAATCCTATCCCATGAGCCTGGGTGATACTCAGGAGATTATTTTTATCACCTCTCTAAAAATCTCTGCTTATTTTATAACTGGTGACACATAGACATCTAAAGAGATGAGGACCTCACACAGGGATTGGCCATGAGAGGAGCTTTCAGTGCTGTGATCTGAGGCCGGTCTGATTTCTGACACCCTCTTAAAGGCTTTCAAGTATAGGCCACTGGGTTCCACATCCCATACCGCTTACCTCCATTGTGGCTAGTTTCTCATTTGCGGAGGAGGTTAGACGTGTTACTCTCTTCCCCTCCACATTCAGTGTAAATTTCTCTTAATCAGGTCAGCTCGCCTCCCCAGGCAAGCAAACACATTTCTCGCTGTCTTCCTGAGCTACCCCAGGGAAAGTCTGCATTATTTTAGTACCATAGACACAGTCTAGAAATCTGATTCCTATGGGTTGACACCATCCTGATGACAAACCCTTCACCTACCACATCATCTTATTTTTATAATCACCGAACTTTGTTAGGATGAAAAACTAGAGCACTCACCAGGCACCCAACTCTGCACCAGGCTCCATGGTCCCCAAATGAAGCTTCCTAGATCTCTTGTGTCCAAGCCATTCCCCTCACGTGAAACAACATGAATAGGTAGAGATAAGTGACTTTGTGACTCAGACCAGACAGTAGCCCAAGAAGACCACATGCCTCCCTCCAGGCCACATGAACTACATGAAGCAATCTCCTTCTGTTCAGCCAAGAGTCTATGCCATCTCAGTGCTTGTTTTCCTTCCTGTCCCTTTATCTGGCTCTGTGCAGATAGAGCAGCCTGTATCTTCTCCTTCCAGCCACACGGAGTGCCGGTAACCTCTCACAGGATGTTGCCGTGTGCCTCCATTTACACTGCCTCTTCTTCCTGGATGCTTTCCTCTGTCCCCTGCAATCACATGAAACTTACTTCTTGTGTTACTGCTTAATGACAGCTTAACTTCCGTCTCCCCACCCCCTCCTGCTCAATTCTAGGTTCGAGTATGTGCCTTCACTAAGTCCTCCCATAATGCCTAAGCAGGTCTCTATCGCAGTCCACACATTGTTTCCTATGTGTGTCTGTTTCTTCCATTAGACTATAATTTCCTTGAGGACTTGTCTTGTGCCTTACTCATCTTTGTGAGTACAGTGCCATGCATATAGTAGATGCTACTTAATAAAGGTGGGCATGTATGGGTGAATATTCCCAGTGTTTCAGGATGTTTTTTCTTTCTGCTCTGGCTTTTCTGTTCTCACCTGGAATGAGAGTGGATGAAATAATACAGACAGGAAACCAGGAAGCAGAAGAGAATCCCAGCCACCTACCTACACTTCCCCCTCTTAGATGCCCTGCAACAGAGATCTGTCCTCGGGACTCCACCTCATCTTTGCCAGCAGTGTGCAGCTGGCTTCCTAAAATCCACCCAGAATAGGGGTTAGCTTGTCAGAAAAATACAAATGGGATATCTTCTGCAGGGCTTTGCACAGTCCCCTCAGCTCCCACACTTCTGTGTCAGGGAGGGGATGCAGGGACACATATCCATCCACCCTCTGGGAGTCATGTAGTCTGTGGCTCCAGGAGATGACACCCTGGCCTAGAGGACTGTACCCTTAAACCACTCTCTGCTTTGCTGGCTTATGTCATCCTCCTGCTCCTTTGGGTAGAAGTTCTTATCAACAAATTGTCACCAGTAATAGGCTTGAGTAGGCACTAAATATGAAACATGAATAATGACATGAGCCAGCAGAGCAGAGAGTGGCTTAAGAGTGGTTTAAGGGTGAAAGGGAAGGGAAATGAAAACCCTGGAGGATTTCAGATTCACTCACTCTTCTTTACCTTATAGCCTGTGCTGCAAAGGCAGAGTAAAGAAACTTCTGTTCTGCCTCCTTGCATCCCCACCACAATAGGCTGTAAGCAGGAGCTACCCCATGTTTTAATATAAAGAAACTGAGGCCCCAAAAGTTAAAAATAACTTTATAGTACCAGCTAGCCATTGGCAAAATAAGATTATACATTCAGATTTGTCCAATTGCTTCCCCATTTAAATGAGACCACAGATTAAAATTATTATTTTCAATTAAGAATAAATACATAAAAGAAATGTCTGAAAAGAGGATCTGATATGTGTCTAACTACCTTTAAATCTCCTTGAGATAAATTATCAGATGTTGTTTCTACTGAGCCACCCCCATCACCAGTTTCTCACAATTCAGTGCTGAGCAGGCAGCGACTGCTTAAGAATTCCAGCTAAGTGGTAGTGAACTACTGAGATTTCATCACAGAGCACGGTGAACCCTTTTCTAGGGTCTAAATATGTGCTCTATATTTGTTGTGAAGGGCCAAAGAAATGAAGAAAATAAAGAACAATGTTAGTCTTAAGAACTTTTTTAAATAACAACAATGACTGAGTTACTAAGGTCAAGAACTATTCTAATGCTTTTATACTCATCTCATCTAACTGCTCCAAACCCCATATGAAGTAGATACTACTACCATCATGACCCATTTTACAGATGAACAAACTGAGTCTTGAAGAGGCTAAGTAACTTGCCAAAGCACATCCCAGACTTACAGGCAGTCTGGCTCAGAGACCTCTGCTCACAGATACTTCTCTTCCTGGGTCTAATTCAAGAGGGGTGACGTGCGAGTTAGAGCAGCCTGTGGGCTTAGTGATTCTGCTGCTTGGTGCACAGCAAGACAGACCATAATCAGCACTTGGATAATAGAATTTTTATAAGTGATTAAAGTAAAAGCCAGGATTTAGAGATTGAGAGTTGATTGTTAAAGGATAAATGATATTTGGAACATCTTACTGGATTTGATTAAAGTGAAATTCAAAAACCATCACAAAGATGATTATGTACCAGTGGTACTTGAAGGACTTTTTTTGTGGCTTAAGTCATTGGCACTCCAATGCTTGAAATCTCTGTGCTCAAAACCAGAATGTAATTGATCCTTAGAAAATCAGAGGTTAGCGCCTTCTTTGGCAAGCTACTTCTGAGCTTTGTTACGCTGTAACATAATCATCCTTTGAAGACTGAGATCTGGTTTTCTGGTTTTTTTTTTTTTTTTTTTTTTTTTCTTCACATGGTGCCTGGTATCTTCTCTTGAACATAATAGATACTTTGACATGAGTAGACAAACCGAAGTCATTTTATATTGCTTTAGGGGCTCTGAATTTAAGAGAGTTGATTTCTGAAGGAAACATAATAGCAATGATTGCTTAAACACAAAAATCTCATTTCTCTTCTTAATCAGCTGGACGTCAATATCCAGGTTCCAGTCCAAGTGTCACACTGTGCCTCTATAAAGTTAATCTTTTCTGGAAGGGAAACCAAATATGAAAGAGTATCAAGAACTGAGACAGAGTGTTGGAACACCCTGCATGTCCTCTGTTGGCCACTACAAAAGGTTAAACAACAGGAGGGGCTGGATTAGGGTCTGTGTTTGGAAGTGCATTTGAGGCAAGCTTGACAGTTAAGCTCATGGCCAGTACTACATGCCACAGCAAGAGGACAATAGGAGATTTAAAAGTGTGAGCAGGCTGTGGCCAAATGCTGGAATTCATGGGCTAAGTAGATGAAGAGTTGGATGGAGTTAACTAGTAAACAAGTTTCATGGTCCTTAAAGAGACCTATTTTTTTTTTTATGGTATGAATTTAAGATGTACAACATAATGTTTTGATTTCGTACAATTAGTAAAATAGTGATAGTTTGATATTTCATATATATACCAAAATGATTAATCTGGGTATATTATTTCCTTCTCATGCTGCTAATAAGGAAATACCCAAGAAATAAAGAAATACTAAAGAAAAAGAGGTTTAATGGACTGAGTTGCACATGGCTGGGGAGGCCTCACAATCATGGCAGAAGGCAAAGGAGGAGCAAAAGTATGTCTTACATGGTGGCAGGCAGGGGACCTTGTGCAGGGGAACCCCCCTTTATAAAACCATCAGCTCTCCTGAGACTTATTCACTGTCATGAGAACAGCACAGGAAAAACCCACCCTCATGATTCAGTTACCTCCCATCCGGTCCCTCCCATGACACATGGGGATTATGGAAGCTACAGTTCAGGATGAAATTTGGGTGGGGACCCAGCCAAACCATATCAACAGGGAAGCAATTTAATGTATCTGTCACCTTCCGTATTTACCCTTTGTATGTGGTAAGAACACCTAACATCTACTCTCCTGGCAAATTTTCAGTCTACAATATTATTAACTAGAGTCCTCCTGCTGTACATTAGATCTCTAGATTTAGCTGCAAGTTTCTACTCTTTGTCCTATATCTGCCCATTTCCTCCTCCTCCCTACCCCTGGTAACCGCCGCTGTGCTTTTTGTTTCTATGTCTTTGACTGTTGTTTTTTAGATGCCGTATATAAGTGAGATCATGCAGTACTTTTCTTTCTGGATCTGGCTTATTTCACTTATCATTGTGTTCTCCATGTTGTTGCAAATGACAGGATTTCCTTCTCTTTTTTTTTTTTTTTTTTTTTTTTAGATGAAGTCCCGTTCTGTCGCCCAGGCTGGAGGGCAATGGCACAGTCTCGGCTCACTGCAGCCTGCACCTTCCAGGCTCAAGCGATTCTCCTGCCTCAGCCTCCCGAGTAGCTGGGATTACAGGCACGCGCCACCATGCCCAGCTAATTTTTGTATTTTAGTAGAGATGGGATTTCACCATGTAGGCCAGGCTGGTCTCAAACTCCTGACCTCTGGTGATCCACCTGCCTCGGCCTCCCAAGGTGCTGGGATTATAGGCATGAGGCACCACGCCCGGCTGATTTCCTTCTTTTTTAAGGAGATGTATATGTGTGTGCACACACTACAGCACATTATCACATTTCCTTTATCCATTCATCCATTGATGGACACTTAAGTTGATTTCCTGTCTTGGTTATTGTGAATAGTGCTGCAGTGAACATGGGGTGCAGATATCTCTTCAAGATGTAAATTTCATTTTCTTTGGAGGAATTGCTGTATTATATGGTATTCTATTTTTAAATTTTGGTGGGGCCTTCATACTGGTTTTCATAATAGCTATACCAACTTACGTTCCTCCTAACAGTATACAAGGTACCTTTTTCTCCACAACCTTACCAGATAAGTGTTGACTTTTTTTTTCTTTCGTTTTGTTTTTGTTTGTTTGTTTTTTGGTACGAAATCTCGCTCTGTCACCCAGGCTGGCGTGCAGTGGCATGATCTCAGCTCACTGCAACCTCTGCCTCCCAGGTTCAAGTGATTCTTGTACCTCTGCCTCCCACGTAACTGGGATTACAGGTGCCTGCTACCACACCCGTCTAATTTTTGTATTTTTAGTAGAGACAGGGGTTTCACCATGTTGGCCAGGCTGGTCTCGAACTCCTGACCTCAGGTGATCCACCTGTCTCGGCCTCCCAAATGCTGGGATTACAGGCATGAGCTACTGGGCCCAGCCTTGACCATTATTTTTAATAGCTAACAATTACTGAGCATTTACCATTTGTATGAGTCTAAGCACTTTATAAATATTTAATCTTCATAACAATCTGTGACATAGATACTACTGTAAATCCCATCACTCAGTACTAAAAAACTGAGGCACAAGGAGTTTAAAGAACTTGCTCAAAGTGTCACAATTAGTAAGTTGTGAAGCCAGCCAGAACACATGCTCTTAACCCCTGCACTGTTCTGCCAACTCTTTGAAGTGGTTTGTTTCAGTTGTCAGGTTTTGTTTGCTATCTCTGAAAATCCTTACTCTTACAGTGTCAGCCAGACACCTACATTGATCACATGGCCTAACTTGCCTCTCTCAGCACAGTGGCTTTTTAATCTTTGGCTGCAATCCTTTTTTTCCTAGACTGTAAACTCCCTGAGGGTAGAAAGTCTGTCCCATTCATTGTGCCCATTTTAGTGAATGTTGAAAGGGAGCCTCGGGAGGGATTATCTAGATGCCTGTGGATCTAGATTATTCATCATCCACTGGGATCTTTATTGGTGTTCCTTGTCCCCAAGGAGGGAGTCAGCAACAACAGAAGGCAGCAGAGATCTCAACAGTGTTCATCAAACACATGTTGAGTGCCTACGTCGTTCTTGGCCTGCACCTATGAGATAAACAGAGCAGACATCATCTTCTGTGCCTTCTCAGAACTTAAGGTACAGCAAAGAAACAAACGAGATAAGCGCCAAGTGTGATACATGCTGTTAAAAAAAAGCGAAGAGGCTGAGGTAGAGAATAATGGAGGTAGGGTTGGGTAGGACCTACTTTAGGTAGGTAGGCATGGAAAATTCCTCCTTGAAGAAGTGACATTCTAAGCGAAGATTTGACCAACCAGAATGGCATAGCTGAGAATGAGAAGACTGCTGGGGAAGCTCTTGTTGGCAAAGAAAACAGCATATGCACAAGCCCTGAGGTTGGAAAAGCTTTGTTTAATCTGTTTAATGGTGAAATTCAGTGACACTCATTAGTTACCTCTTCACACATTCCTGCCAAACACTTGTCCCTGAGTCTGTTCTTTTTTATTAGTGGTTCCTAATCCAGTTTTCAAAGCTGCTCAATATTCGTAGAGCTTTTGACCAATTGCTCTGGAAACAGAGGCAGTTCCACCATAGCCAACAGAGTTTGGAACGTAAATTGTCCGTTTATATCCCCATTTGTATCTTAAGCTTAGCTTGCATAGGACTCAGCAAAGCAATATGTCAAATTCCTTATATTTGTTATATCTCTTTTTTCACTGACTCACAGCATGAAAAATTTGAAATTAATAAAATAATTTTTTAGATGATCAGAGATTCTTTTTTCTAAAATTTTCTAAATACTATGGTTGTGTCCCTTAACCACAGGCATGGTGGTTTCACTGCATTTTACTCAAGAGAAGCTTGCTTACAAATATCACACAGGAGAGGTACCTTCCTAGCCTCCTGCAGGAGGGTGGCTGACCCGGGGAACCTCCAGGCAAGCAGGACATACGCCAAGTATCCTATGTGTGGACAGTGTCTAACTTGATCCGATCTTTCTCCTTCCCCATGTTTTAGTTAAGTCCCCTGAAAGCTCCCATTACCCACTGTTCATAAAGGGTCTGTAAATTATTTAAGAGAAGGAAACACAGCCTTTATCCCATCGGATTTTTCCTCTCAATCACTTGAGTCTTTTCTCTGAGCACACACACATGGCCCAGACTCACTGTCAGGGGAGATGTAATGCCAGCATCTGGTGTTAATATCTATTGTTGACATTTTGGGAATGAGAACATGAGCTATTAGGGAAGATGTTTGCTTGTACCTAATTAATGTCCCGTTGTATCCTCTCTTGTTGTCAGCTCTGCCTCGCCATCCTGCCTTGGCATTTTCTTTTGCTGGCTAACTTTAAAAGTTAATTATTTCTCTGTTGAATGTTAAATGCCACCGGTTTTTAATGCCGTTCCTTGGTGTGAGTTATTAGTTATCAAAAATCAAAATGATCTGTGCAATTATCAGCTCTTTACCTGAAGCCACTGTTCTTGCTAATCACATAAAGTGTGATGTCTGGCAACATGGATCTTTCTAGCAGATGTAAGTTTCTCACTCAGTACATTCCTGTCCCTGTCTAGCTTTCCTTGTGTAGAGCAGATACAAAGTCCTGGTACATCATCTAATGGAAACAATTACTGACAGGGCCAAGTCTTCAAGGCCCATTTTGCTTGAATCTCAAATCACTATTAAAATTCATTTGGCAACTCCAGTAAGTACAGAGAGTAATGAGGAACCTCAAACAGAATATTTCCTAATAGCTTTCATAAAACATGTCTTGGTAGGAGATCACAGCTCTTTCTTTACTTGAGATTGGTTTATAAAAATAATAGTACAAGTTCCAACTATCAGTTACTAAGTGCATACTCTGTGCCAGGCTTTGTCATTCACTTTTGGCATGGATTATCTTAATCCTCTCAACAATCCGGTGAGGTAAAGTCTTATTATTATTCCCAACTTAAAGATGAGCAATTTGAAGACTAAAAACTTGAGTAATTAATGTACCATCACATGGCTGGTAAGTCATGGGCCAGAATCCCCAGCCAGCAGTCACAGCAGAGCTGCACCGTCCCAGGCAGTGACTGTGACTCACACGTGGCTACTGAGCACTTGAAATGGGGTGAGTCCAAATGAGATGGGCTGTAAGTGTAAAACATACGCCCTGTTCGTGAGTCCAAATGAGATGGGCCATAAGTGTAAAACATACGCCCTGTTCCTAAGCCTTAGTCAATAAAATAGTGTAAAATGTCTCATTAAGAATGTGTTCATACCAATTACATGTTGAAGTGATAATATTTTGGATGCATTGAGTTACAGGAAATATATTATTAAAATTTACTTTTTGTTTCTTTTTCACTTCTTTAATGTGGTTACTAGAAAATTTTACATTTCCTGTACTGCTTGCCTTATATTTCTGTTAGAAAGGGCTGCTATATATATGTGTGTGTGTGTGTGTGTGTGTGTGTGTACACACGGAGAGAGAGATTTCTGGAGTTTTTTTCTTGTCTGGCGAGTTTCCGATCCTAAACTATTGAGGAATAGGCACAAATTTCTGACCCTTCCTCCCCTTTCTGGTTGTTTCACTTCCAGAAATCCAACAGAAAGTACAAATTTTTACATCTGAGTCTCTACCAAGAGCCCATCTGTTGGCTCTTCTCAAGTATGGAAAGATAAAACACTGACATGCCAGGCATTAACGAGATCAAAAACAGGGCTAATGACAGAAATGTGGCTGCTGTTAAAGTGTCTCCAGAGGATAATCGGGGAGGACTTTTTGTTCTCCTTACAGCGACCCCCTCAAATGTCTTCAGAGAGTGCCTCTCAGTTCCAGTTCCTGAGGTCCTCCTCT